AAAAAAAAAAAAAAAAAAAAAAAAAAAAAAAATCTATTCCTACCTTGACTACATGGAGCAGCACCATCACCTAGCCTTCTCCTTTCTCCTACTTATTAACAACAGGCCCTGACTATTCTGCTTCCTGGCTCTCTCCCAAGTATTTTTTTCTTTCTCTCTTGTGAGAGTCCACCACCTTTGATCAGCTTCCCGTCTCTTTCTCCTGGTTTTCCTGTTTCCATTTGCCTGCATGCTACAGCTTGAGTAATCTTGGTAAATATAAGTCTAAGTCACCCGCACGCCCCTGCTGTGCACCATCAACTGACTTCCTGTGGGTCTTAGATTAGGATCAAATGCCTTACAAGATCCTTTGCAGAAGGCAGTTCTTAATCCAATTCAACCTCATCTCTTGCTGCATTTATTCGGTCTTCTTCCCGTACTAAATTCTGCAATCATACTGAATGACATGGAATTCTCCAAACTCCTCAAGCTACCTCTTTGTCCTGTTGCCAGAAGCCCTCTACTTGTCCTTACATTTGCCCCTCACTCCCTTTGGCCTCCAATCTGCTGCAGAAATCCCACCATTCTTCAAGCCTTTGCTTAGTCTTCCATCAGTTCATTGAGGAAGACTTGCCCATCCCATTTCATTTACCACTGACCACTCCTATGACTAGTGTCCATTTAATGACTGCATCCTCTCAATATTCCTGTTTTGTATTCTGTCCTAGGATTCATCATCATAAGACCACAATGGTCTATTTTCTTTCCTCCACATAAATAGAAAAAACTCACAGAGAGAATCTTTAAAGAATAAGGATATTTACTATCATTGCCAAGCATTGCCATAGAAAACTCTCAGCATACTCAGAAAAGTTGTTGGCAAAGGAAAATTTGTAAGGGCAAAAATGAGTAAGATCACATCATCAGATGTTTTTAAACCCTAATCCTTGGCTACGATGATGAATAGTAAGAATGGCACCCGTCTAGGTTGAGCAGACAATTGTTGGGCAGATAGGCTAGTAGAAGTAGTTGTATACACCAGTTGTGGTGGCTTCTGTGCAAGCTTGTGGTTCTAGAAAACTCTCTTGTGATAGCCACTATAAGGCAAACATATAAGAATCTTCCTTGCTAGGCCTGTAATCCAAGGAGGCTGAGATAGGAGGATCACTGCAAGTTTGAGGCTGGCCAGGGCTTCATAGAGAGCTCAAGGCCAGCTACATACACAGCAAGATCTTGTCTCAAAAATATCCTTTCTTTATCACTTTTATTTACTTTTGTTGAGTGAAGTTGGTACAAGTGACTCTATTTTCATTCTGACAACTTTCACATTCCTTTCTCACTTCCTTGCAGCTCGTAATGGACTGTGAGCAGTGTCATAACAAGGATTGCAAGGCCTTCTTTGCAGCCATTTCTGCAATGCCTAACTCAGTGCCTTGGGACATAGTGAATACCTCATAGCTGTCAAATGAATGAATGAATGAATGAATGAATGAATGAATGTTTGAAGAATCCCTGACAGCTGAAGGAATGATACCTCGGGAATGCTCACCAATGACTTCTTTGCTTTTTCGATCATAAAATGAGTGCAGAAAATTATGAGGGTGTGTTTGAATTTCACGCTGAAATTAATTCAATGAATATAATCATTTATCCTCTTGAATCAGCTACCATCTCATCATTTGCCCATCCTTAATCATCAAACAAAAGGCCACTCAATTTTAATAGCCAAATATTTTTTAACTTATTAAAAAGTTAAGTTTTCAGGAAGTTATTAAGTAATCTGTAAAATCCAGAAAAACAATTATACTTTTCCACTATATGGTTGATGTTATATTTACTTGTTCTTGAAATGGTATAACCCATTCCTGATTGAGTTATTGGATCTAAGAGTTCCCTCTGTTTATGCTAGGTGACTTTTCTCAGACCTACT